TCAGCTTTCCGCTTCTCCAATGCTCCCCTGAGGGTCTGGCGGCTTCAGGAGCATGAAGACGAGGAGGAAGACGGGCACGGGGATGGGGGACGGGGATGGGGCAGGGGACAGGGAACTGGGGAACGTGGGAACTCTGAGGGGGACAGAGGTGGAAATCAGGTAAGCGGGGTAGAGGAGGGAGGGGCGGGGCGGAGGATCAGGGAGGAGGGAACAGTCAATGGTAACGATATGTCCAGTGACCCAGTCACAAAACTAAGTCATCCTCAGAGCTTCTCCAGCGACGCCTGGAGAAGCCCTCACATGCTGCTTGTATTCTGAATGCGCGGCGCAAGCCAGTAGATGACCGCGTCCAAGCAGGGAAAATGAGTCCCACGTGCACGATTTTTTTTTTTTTTACAGCCGCAGGTGGAGGCGCCGACGGCGAGCGGTCACGGTCGGGCTGCGGCCGCGACAAACTAGCGGGCGCGCGCGGAGCCGCGGATCAGGCGGCGAGCGGCGGCAACCCAGGGCGTCTGAGAGGCCAGCGGGCGTGCAATCCCAGGGAGTCTGCAAGGACAGCCCTAGAGGAAACGTGCAAACGGCAAACCCAGGGAGTCTGAGAGATGCGTACACGATGCACGAAGCCGTTACACTACCCTCCATGTTTGCACAGCTGACAAAAGACGCATAATTCGTTGCTCATACTGTGACCACGGTGACGGAAGATGCAAGGTGGCGGCCCGCCGATCACCAGAGTGTGTTGTTACCAAGGTTGAACTCTGTCAGGCGAGAACAGGTGGAACACAGCTGCAGAATAGTCGACCACCCGATTTTTCACAAGACTGACTGTTATCCAGCAGCATCGTGTGAAGGTGCCAAAGATCTCACCCGGCCTGCACGCTGAAGCACGCCCGGGCGGCAGGGACGAGCGTTTGCTTGGGCTCGGAGCCTGTGGAACCTCCCACGACCTGCAGCTTGAGGTGGGCCTTGACGAAGACGGCCGTGAAGGGAAATGAAGCCGATGATGATGGTGAGTGGAGTAGCCGTAACGAGGGCTTTCCCCACATATATAGATTACACACGAAAGGTATTTGGTGAAGGTTCCATCTGAAGAATATACCAACTCCCAGCTCGCAAGCCGCAGTCATCATCTCAGATCGTTTGAGAGCATTCGGCGACATGTCCAGGGTAATCCAGCTGGACTTTGCCGTAACCCCTGGGACCGAGGCCAAAACAAATGCAGGGATGCCCCGCTTCCTCACCATGTTGGCACGTAGGGTGAGATACTCAGTACCATCCGATGACACATGTCTGAAGCTCGGCCACGAAGCCCCGCAGTGAGCGCAGGGCCGTCCTGCCTGCCGGCGAAACTGCATCAGCCACGAAAATCCCGAGGAGCTCCTCTGTCACGGAGAGACTCCTCAAAGAGCTTGAAAGGTCTACCTGAGAGCGCCCCAACGTCGTCTTTATCGACCGCCTCGGAATGTCTCCTTGTCTGATACACTTGCTGCATACACCCTACTCGACAAGTGGCTTTAGGCACATGTTGTACACGATTGGCGTGTCGTTCCTTGCCTGTTAGATGTGTCCAGACACGTCCCTGCACAGCTGTCAACCCTTTCACCAGTCGATGTACTCGATGATTGTCATCTCCTCGCGCCTTGAGAAGACACCCACGATCAGCTGAACAACGAATGAATCTGAGTCCGATACTGCTTGCATGGTTCACCATAGCTGTATCAACAAACTGGGACCACACCAACTTCTCATGTTTGACCGTCTTGATCTCCTGAAGGGCGGCCGAGAAAATATGATGATCACGTGCTCTCGTGCACCACCATCGTCCGTGGCACCACCATTTAGTGCCTGTACGTTGGATCGTAACACGAAGCTTCTTTGCCAGGTCGGCAGGGCAGACTGAGCAGCGGGGAAAACCATATCCACAGTGGGCGAACATATGATACTGCAAGTCGCTCACGAATTTCTGATGCCCCAGGAATGGAGCCAAGCGTATGTATAGCTGTGTATATTTTCCCCCATCTTCCAGGCATCGCCCGTCGTCCACGTTTGGAATTTGCGTTGGTTCTCCACGAACCCGACCTCTCGGTCGAAAAGGGTTGTGTATTGAAGATCGTCCTGCAATAGATCGCTGTTGGCTGCAGTCAGCGAACGATCGTCCATGTACGCCTGGCCGCTGACAGGTTGCCAGGGCGTGAGGCTGAGGACCATCGCTGCAGGCGCAACACTGGTCACCTTGAGGCAGTCCGCGTTGAGGTCTGATGCGGGGTGCGACCGCACCAGATACGCTGCAGTGTCAGGGGGCCTTCCAAGCCGCCCTTGAAGTAGAAATAGTTGAATATGGCGCCTCAGCTGCTTGCAACGCTGCTGCGCCAATATGATGTTCAATATTGTCATACGCTTTGGTGAGATCGAGCTCCGCTCCCGCATCCGTCTGACTCGCTTGCTCTAGCTAGGCTGAAATCGCATGGACACAAGAGACCACCTTGCGAACTGCCGACAAACGCCCCACGATGGGTACACCACCTTGCGAACGGCGAACAGCAGCCTGACGTTTTGCTTTGTCACCTCGAAAAGACGCGCCGACCAGCCACGATGTCCCTCAAGCACCGTCTAGAGGTGCGCGGCACGACGCAAAGGGCATACGCTTACGGAATGCCTCGGGCCGATGTCTGAGCGAGGATGGATGTGAGAGAGCAGGAGGAGGGAGAAGGCACATGGGGGAAGAGAGGGGGACGGGAGGAGGGAGGAGGAGGATCAGGAGGAGGGAGAAGGGAGATGGGAGAAGAGAGGGGGACGGTGGGAGGGAGGAGGAGGATCAGGAGGAGGGAGTGGCTGTGGCTGTGGACGACTGCCGGCTAGGCTCTCGAAAGGACTAACAAGCAGGCTTCAAATATAAGAGAATTGAGCGGGCACACGGGGCCCTGGCAGTTCACGAACTTCACCGCGGCCCAGACAATTACGAGCTTTGCATGGCAAGCACTACCGGCAAGAGCGGCACTGCGACGTGCGCGCCCGCGGCGAGCAGCCGAGAAGCTGCACGCACCACGGGTGCAACGAGCCACGGATGTTCCCGTAGCACGGCTAGCACTTCCACGTAGTCCGAAAACCGATTGAGCAGCTCGCAGTCTTCGCTGCGAATGGTAAACTGCGCCGAATTCGCTGCCTCAGACAGACCATCGCCGACCACATTGGATCCTAGATGGCTGCCTCGATCCTCCCGCGGAGAGACTGCGGCACCAGATGAAATACTTTGCGAATGGGGAGCACACTGCAAAACTGCCTCGGGAGACAATCCGGGCTCCAGACGGGCGCCGCCAGACACCTCCGGGCCATTCTCATGGCTCACCGGCTCCGCCGAGCAAATGTCGCTGCTTCCGGCCTCTGCAAGGGACGTGGCATGAACAAAACTGTGAGGCACGATCGAATCGACGCCAAATGTGTCGAGATCAGCGCCTTCGGCCGCCAAAATGGCCTGGTCGTTCACCTGCTTATTTTTCTTCCTCTGCCTCCGGCGAGGCCGCTTCTCACCTATGAAGAACTCTTCCGGTGCCGCCTGGGTGGGGTGGTCGGCCTGCGCACCTTCGCCAGCGGGGGCGGGGGTGGCAGAAATGGCATCCTCACCGGCTGAGGCGGCAGCGGCGGCGGCGGGGGAAACAGCGCCGGACAGGTCGAACTCGAGCTCAAGGACGGTGCCGCCAGCACCGGCAGCGGCGGACGCGGAGGCAACGTCGCCGGCGGACGCTTGGCCAACGCCGCACGCCGGTTCCGGTCCGAAAGCTGGGCCAGCTGCTTCGCCCTCTCTCAGAAGAACTCCTTCCGGGACATGCGCAGGTAGACCTCCTTCCCTGTCTTTAGGCCCTTCTTTTCCTTCTTGTCCTTCATCTCCTTCACCTGGTTGCTGTTCTTCTGCTTCTTCGGACGCCGCCTCGGACGGCGTGCGGCCAGCTCCGCTGCTGGGTTCGCACACCGTTTCTTGCGCTGCCGGCCCCGGGTTGCCGTCTTCGCTGCCGGCAACAGCGCTGCAGGCGCAGGAGGCGCTGGCGGCGTCGCAGCTGGCGGAGGTGGCACCGAAAGCCGGGCAGCAGGCGGCGGCTCCACTGGCACCGGAAAGTCCGTGCCCCTGTCCTTCACGCCCCTGTCCTTCAGGCGGCCCTCGCGAGGAGGCGGGGGCAACACACCACGTGATTTGCGGCCCCACCGGGAAAGCACCTTGACAACATGAATGGCTCCACCCTCCCTCTCCGACAATGGCGGGGGTACTGGTGGAGCAGGCGCTGGCGGAGGCTGCGGGACATTGCAAATTGGAACCGTCCCACCCTCCCTCTCCGCTAATGGCGGGGGTACTGATGGGCAAGGCGGCGGTGGGGCCTGCGACGCCAACGAAGTCGCGCCCACCGCCCACGACGCCAAGGTAATCGTGTCCACATCCGACATTTTGAGAGCAGGCGCCGCACCAATCCACTGGCCAGGAGGACCCTGTGGACGCAGCATCCTGAACAACAATATCGAAGGACTGGGCTCCAAGGCCAAATGCAAATTGCCTGAGCCTCTCACCCAACTCTTGCGACAATAAGTGATGTGGCACGAAGAAGCGAACTTGCATGCAAAGGAAAAGACGGACACGATATGATCCCAGCTCTTCACCCTCTCGTCAGCTACAAAAGGGCGCTCAAGCCGCACACATCGCGGTGGTCCAGCGGCTGGGCCCCGGCGCAGGCGGGCAGGCGAGGCGCGCGCCCGGCCTGAGCCAGAGAGGCTTGAGGAATCATGAATCAGGAGGAGGGAGAAGGGAGATGGGGGAAGAGAGGGGGACGGGGGGAGGGAGGAGGAGGATCAGGAGGAGGGAGAAGGGAGATGGGGGAAGAGGGGGGAGGGGAGACGGGAGAAGGGCGAGGGGGACGGACGGAGGGAGATCGGAGGAGGGAGGACGGAGGAGGGAGGACGGAGGAGGGAGGACGACGGAGGCAGGACGACGGGGGAAGCTTCCTTGCCACTGCGAGGTCTGGGGCTTCGCGAGCGCGCACTTTGTCGGCCACTCCTTCGGCACGTTCCTCGTGTCGTGGATGCTGCGGTACCAGCCGGGGCACGTCGAGAGGCGAGCGTGCCCTTCGGCCTCCGACCGCTTCCTCCTCCTCTGGCCTTCTCCGCACCAGGGCTCCATGGTCGGCTGGCCATCCTCCCTGATCGGGGGACAGAAAGATACGGATACGTGTTGTCCCCCTTCGTTTTCGGCCTTTCCTGGTCCTCCTGGGGAATCCTCGTTGTCACCGCTGGATTCGCCTCGAAATTCTGGTCAGAACGCACCCCAAGAGAGGTCCGGGGACAACACGTATCCGTATCTTTCCGCCCCCCAACCTGAGGACCCGCTGCCCAGGAGCAAACAAGCAGACCTTCCCGGCGCCAAGCCGGCTGGCAGGAACCTGGCGAGGAGAAGTGTGCACATTCAACGATCCTGGCCAGATTTGTCTTGAGCCCAGGGTGGGCCTGGCTTGAAGTCGCCTTGGCGCCGAACCATGCGGTCTTGAATCTGTCTCGGGGCGCTCATGGGCCAGAATCCAGCCGTTCGGGGTGCTTCTCGGCGCAGTTTTTTGGGCTCGTTGGATCCTGCTGTGATGGTACATGTGGTGTCCTGCAGCCGTTTTGCGAAGAGGTTGGGCTGCCTTGGAGCGGCTTGGAATCCGACAAGTGCGCTTTTGGGTCTGTCTTGGGGCGCTCTTGGCGCCGTCTTGGGCCGCCTTGGTTTTTTCCCCACATCCAAAGTGGGATTCTTGTTTTCTCTGCACACCCCGCGCAGGAACACTCACCCCACCCCCTCTCCTCTTCTGCCTTCGCACACTCACTCACTCACTCATCATCATCACCACTCACTCACACTCACACTCACTCACACTCTCTCATCATCAACATCAGCATCATCACTCGCGCTCTCTCACACGCTCAGTCACTCACATACTCATCATCATCATCATCATCATCATCATCATCATCATCATCATCATCATCATCATCATCATCATCATTCCACATCCTAAGTGGGGTTCTTGTTTTCTCTGCACACCCTCCGCGCAGGATCTCTCCTCCTCCTCCTCCTCCTCCCTCTCCTCTGCTCCTCTTTGCTTCCTCCTCCGCATCATCATCACCATCACCATCACTCCCCACTCATCATCATCATCACCATCAGCATCACCATCACCATCGCACGATCACTCACCATCATCGGCACCGAACGATCATCATCATCATCATCATCATCATCATCATCATCATCATCATCATCATCATCATCATCATCATCACTACTCGCTGACTTGAGGCCTGAATATGGAGGAAGTATCAGCGGGAGCCTCGTCTGTGAGTGAATTGTGAGGAAGTCTCAGGCGGGAGCCCCCTCCCTATGGGGCCCGCACTTCATGTTCGAATCCGAGCGGGTCATCCGCAACGTGCAACTGTCGTCACTTTTGGGCTCTTGAGACCTGAATATGGAGGAAGTCTCGAGCGGGAGCCTCGTCTGTGAGTGAATTGCGAGGAAGTCTCAGGCGGGAGCCCCCTCCCTATGGGGCCCGCACTTCATGTTCGAATCCGAGCGGGTCATCCGAAACGTGTAACTGTCGTCACTTTTGGGCTTTTGAGGCCTGAATATGGAGGAAGTCTCGAGCGGGAGCCTCGTCTGTGAGTGAATTGCGAGGAAGTCTCAGGCGGGAGCCCCCTCCCTATGGGGCCCGCACTACATGTTCGAATCCGAGCGGGTCATCCGAAACGTGTAACTGTCGTCACTTTTGGGCTCTTGAGGCCTGAATATGGAGGAAGTCTCGAGCGGGAGCCTCGTCCGTGAGTGAATTGCGAGGAAGTCTCAGGCGGGAGCCCCCTCCCTATGGGGCCCGCACTTCATGTTCGAACCCGAGCGGGTCATCCGAATCGTGTAACTGTCGTCACTTTTGGGCTCTTGAGACCTGAGTATGGAGGAAGTCTCGAGCGGGAGCCTCGTCTGTGAGTGCATTGCGAGGAAGTCTCAGGCGGGAGCCGCCTCCCTATGGGGCCTGCACTTCGATTCTTCCGAAAATGGTCAGGGTTCGGCCTGAATATGGAGGAAGTCTCGAGCGGGAGCCTCGTCTGTGAGTGAATTGCGAGGAAGTCTCAGGCGGGAGCCCCCTCCCTATGGGGCCAGCAATGTTCGAATCCGAGCGGGTCATCCGAAACGTGTAGTCGTCACTTTTGGGTTCTTGAGGCCTGAATATGGAGGAAGTCTCGAGCGGGAGCCTCGTCTGTGAGTGAATTGCGAGGAAGTCTCAGGCGGGAGCCCCCTCCCTATGGGGCCCGCACTTCATGTTTGAATCCGAGCGGGTCATCCGCAACGTGCAACTGTCGTCACTTTTGGGCTCTTGAGACTTGAATATGGAGGAAGTCTCGAGCGGGAGCCTCGTCTGTGAGTGAATTGCGAGGAAGTCTCAGGCGGGAGCCCCCTCCCTATGGGGCCCGCTTCCCGAGGCGCTGGCCGAGGCGGCGACGGCGCTGAGGAAAATGGATTTGCTTGCCCCGACGAGGGGGAAGGGGAGGTGCACATGGAGAAAAGGCAGGGGGATGAGGAGGGAAGGGGCATGGGGGAGGCCGACGACGAGGAGGAGGTGGCGCGAGAGGAGGAGGAGGAGGAGGAGGAGGAGGAGGAGGAGGAGGAGGAGGAGGAGGAGGAGGAGGAGGAGAGAGGAGGAGGAAGATAAATAGAAGGGGGAAGAGAGGGCAGTGCAGGGGGCCAGAGGAGAGGGTGTCCGCCAGGGGGAGGAGGAAAGGGCAAAGGGTGAGCTAATCAGATTCTCATGTGGGGTCCTACCGTCGGAGTATTTTTTTGCGTGTGTGGGTAACCTCTGAAGTTTTCCCGACATGATCTGTGACCGAAAACATCGGAAGCAACATGCAATGAGTTGCCGTCCGCTTTTCACTCTGTCTTTGCCTTCGAGGGCCTCGCAGGAAGCCTCTGGGGGCTTCTCTCGGAGGCCTCTTAGAGCATATCGGACAGTCTTGGAGCCTGCGGGGGCTCGACTCGTTGTGCCATCATTCGACACGCTTGGGGTGTTTCGTCGCCGTGTTGGGACGGCCTGTGGTTCTTGAAGTTGTTTGGAGGCCGAAAGGGAGGACGTCGGTGTTCAAACGCGGGGTGTGAGTGTTTGAGGATGGTCCTGATGACGGGGAGATTAGCTCCCTATCAAGCACTACAGAAGTCTTACAGGCAACATACGGACACCCTGGCACAGCCCAGTGTGCCGAAGGCACAGTGGCGGACGGTGGCGGCGGTGGCGGCTATCCGTTCTTCTTTCGTTCCTGAAGCGAAAGGATCGATCGATGTTGCGATTATACAGGCTTCTGCCACATCCGCCGACCCCTTTCATTCCTGTGCGAAGGAGTGGCCATCTTAGCCGTCTTGGAGGCCATCTTAGCCGTCTTGGAGGCCATCTTGGCCGTCTTGGAGGCCTGTTGGGGCCCTCTGGGGGCCGTCTTGGTTGCCTCTTGGGCCGTCATGGGCCATCTTGGAGGCCTCGTGGGCGATCATGGGGCGATCTTGGACCATCCTGGGCCATGTTGAAGCCATCTTGGGTGCATCTTGGGCCGTCTTAGCCGTGTTGGAGGCCGTCATAGGGCCATCTTGGAGGCCTCGTGGGCGATCTTTGGGGCCTCTTGGGCCGTATTGAGCCGTCGGAATACCAAAGAAGAGCACATGCCAAAATCCCTCCAACAATTTTTGGAAAATCAATGAATTCGGCCTCTTCGGGTCCTCCTGGAGGACCTCTTGGAGGCCTCTTAGGCCGTCTTGGAGGCTTCTTAGGCGTACTTGAAGGTATCTTGGGCTCTCTTGGGCCGTCTTGGAAGCCATTTTCGACCATCTTAGGCGAACTTGAGGGTCATTTCGGGCCATCTGAGCCGTCTTTGAGGTTATATTTGGCCATTTTGGAGCAGGACAGGCATTGACATTCGGACCCTGGCGGGCCGGGCCGAAGCGCCAGGGGGAGTTCTTTGGGAAGAGAAACAAAACCAAGAGCGAAAGGATTCAGCACGCCGGGCACCCCTATGATGAATCAACAGGGGGCGGCGGATCTACCGACTTCCGGCCCACCCCGCCATCATGGGGACATTTCGGGACCTCTTGGGCGATCTTGGGGCGATCTTGGGGTCCTCTTGGGCCGTCTTGGATCGTCGGAAGGCCGAACAGAAGCAAACGCGAAATCTTTCAAACACCCAAGACAAATAATTGTTTTTGGCTTCTTCGGGACTTCCTGGAGGATGTCTTGGAGGCATCTTGGGCTGTCTTGAAGGCATCTTGGGCACCTTCGGCTCTCTTGAGGATGTTTCTGCCGTCTTGGATGCCATCTTGGTCGTCTCGGAGGTTATTCTGGTAGTTTTGAAGTATCTTGGAGACCATCTTGGCCGTTTTCGAAACCTATTGGGACATCTTGGAGCCCTCTTGGGGTTGGCTTGAAGGCCTCTTGGGCCGTTCTGAAGCCATCTGGGAGGCCTCTGGGACTAGTTTGGGGACTCCTTGGGCCGTCTTAGGCGGTCGGGACACCAAAACCGAGGGGAAACAAACATCCTTCAATTAGCCTAACGAAGGACCCAACCATATGCAACTGCGAGTACAACATTGTGGGTACCGCTTTCGTTGGAGCTCCCTCTGGGGCCACGAAACGTGTAAGGGGTGTGCCGACTTGGGTGGCGAGGACGCGTGCAACCTCTGCCTTTTGGGCTTTATGTGGAGCTCTCTCTGGGGCCACGAAGCGCGTGAGGGGTTTGCCGAATTGGGTGGTGGTGACGCATGCAACGTCGGCCTTTCGGGCCTTCGGTGGAGCTTCCTCTGGGGCCGTGTGAGGGGTGTGCCGAGTTGGGTGGCGGGGACGCATGCGTCCTCGGCCTTTTTCACCCTTTGGTGGAATTCTCTCTGGGGCCACGAAACGTGTGAGGGGTGTGCCGCATTGGGTGGCGGGGACGCATGCGGCCTCGGCCTTTGCGCCGCCGGTGGAGCTCCCTACTGGGGCCACGAAGCGTGTGATGGGCGTGCCGAATTGGGCGGTGTGGACGCACGCAACCTTTGCCTGATGGGCCTTCGGTGGA